GTGTGTGTGTGTGTGTGAGAGAGAGAGAGAGAGAGAGAGAGAGAGAGAGAGAGAGAGAGAGAGAATGAATCTGGAGCTTGGCCAGTATGCTGGGCTGGCTGGCCAGTGAACCCTAGGAATCCTCCTATCTCCACCTCCAACACTGAGGTTATAAGGATATAGCACCACTGTTAGCTTTTTATGTGACTGCTGGGAACAGAACAGAGGTCCTCAAGCTTGCACAGTGAGTATTTTACCAACTGAACCGTCTCCCAAGGTCAAGTAATCCTTATTTTACGTAATAATGGCTTGAAAGCTCAAGAATGGGGAAGTAAAAGGGACACTGGGACATAAGTCATAAGAGGACACACTTACACCACCCTAGTGCACAGGGCACCCAGGAAAGACACTGTCTATCCAGGAGTCACCATTACCGGCAGTTTGGGGGCTGCCATTGTGATCTTGGAAGATAGACTCCTAGACATGGAAGCCATTTTTTCTCATGGGAAATCGGGCCTGTGTGCCTGAGGTTTGATATCCAGGCAGACATTGTTCCCAGTTTCAGTAACTGCGTTGTAAATAGGGTCAGTCTTCCTAAGGCTGCTATGGAGACAGGATCGGTTTATTTACAAGGAATGTCGATAAATGACTTCTAGTGGATCATTTTGTGGTTTTCTTTCTTCCTTCCTTCCTTCCCTCCCTTCCTTCTGTCCTTTCTATTTTTCAGGATCTTTCTGTGTAGCCTAGCATGGCCTCAAACTCACAATTGATCTTCCTGCCTCAGCTTCCTTGAGGGATGTGATCTAGCTTCTGGTTTCTAGTGGGTTTTTTTTTTCCTTTTATTTTTGAGACAGGTTTCATGTAGCCCAGGCTGGCCTTGAACTCTGGGTCGTCCTGCCTCCATCTCCCCCATGCTGTGATCACGGGTGTGTGACACCATGCCTGGTCTGTGGGATGCTGGAGATTAGGACCCCATGCCTTCTAGGTAAGCTCCCCACCAACTGAGCCACACCCCTAGCCCCTTTCTATTCTTTTTTTTTTTCATTGTTGCTGAGGACCCAATGCAGGGTCTTGTGCATGCTAACCAAGTCATGCCACCAGAGAGCCACACCCCAGCCTCTCACTGTGGTATTCCAGCCAGGTTCTCCATTACGGAGCCACGCCCCTACCTTCTTTTGATGTTATTTAAAGTGAAGCTGCCCTCTCCTTTGGGGCTTCCCCTTGTGGGTTCATTGCAGTCCTGATGGCCTTGACTGACAAGCCAATGCCTTCAATCTTTCTTTCCAGACCCAATAGCCACCCAGCTCCCCTCCCTGCATCCCATGTCTGTAGCTGGAGTTTTCTCCAGTCCCACTTGGGCCCACTGCCGCTCAGATCCAAGTAAACACACAGAGACTTATATTATATATAAACTGTATGGCCATGGCAGGCTTCTTGCTATCTAGTTCTTTTATCTTAAATTAACCCATTTCTATTAATCTATAAGTTGCCACATGGCTTGTGGCTTACCGTTACTTTACATCTTACTTTCTCATGGTAGTGGCTGGCAACGTCTCCTGACTCAGCCTTCCTGTTCCCAGAATTCTCCTCTGCTTGTCCCGCCTATACTATACTTCCTGTCTGGCTACTGGCCAATCAGCATTTTATTTATCAACCAAATCAAAGCAACACATTCACAGCATACAGAGTGTTTGATATCCACAGCACAAGTCTGCTGCCATCCTGTGCTCTCTTCCTGTCTCACCGGGACTGACAGGGCTGGCAGGCCTGGTGTCTGGTTCTTAAGTGTTTCAACCTCTTTGGTCTGTGAAGTGCCTTGCTCACTCAGACAAAGCAAGCCTGATGCCAGTCCCTTCCTCTATTCAGGCTGTTCCCTTAGCCTGTATTTTGTCCTATATCACTCTCCGTGTGAATAGTGTGTATGTTTTGTATGTGTGGAAGCCAGAGGTTGATTTCAGGGGTCACCCTTGATTACTTCCGACCTAAAACAAAGACAACACCCACCTGGCACCCCCCACCCCAGACCCCACATTTAATGTGTGTAGCTCAAGTATATGTCATGGTGACTTGCAGGCGTAAGGTCTCTCCTTCTACCACGTGGAGTCCAGGAACTGAATTCACATCACCAGGCTTCACCCACTCAACTGTCTTTCCAGCTGTTTTGGGACAGGATCTCTAATTAGCTGGCTGGCCAGCAAGCCCCAGGGATCTGCCTTTCTCTACCTCTCAAGCACTGGGATTACAAGTATGGACAGCCCTGCTCTGTCTTTTGTATGGGTTCTGGAGGATTGAACCCGGGTCCTCAAGCTTGTGCAGCAAACACCTTCCTGACGGAGCCATCTTCCCAGTCTCTGAGCTACACTTCTTCAAATGCCTGTTATCCTTCTGAACAGGGATGCTTTTCTGTAGGAATGTGACCTATCGTGTCACAGTTTCTAAGAACAACAGGATCGGACCCTACATCCTAGGCTCTCAGGAGAAGCTATGATGCCATGTGCAGAAACCATGTGTGTATTTTATGAACTTTTCCAAATCTTTTTGACATACTTTCCTAGTCCGGGCATTTCTTTTTCCATCTTTCCAAAATGTTCAACTTGGGTTTTACTCAGTTGCCATCCCTTTTTCTTTTCCTTTCACACATAATGTCATCAGTTTATGTAATTTAATAAAATTATATAATTACAGTAACAAGCACAGCTGGCATGAAGAGGTGGAGGGGGGGGACGACAAAGTTGTTGGCAGGTGCACAAGTCAAGTGACAAGAGCAGAAACAGGCAGACCCAATAGGTGTCTAGCAGCGACGAAGCTGCCGGCGCATCCCGGGTATCTGCTGCATCTATACGCTATCGGGGATGTGGGATGCCAGGCGGTGTGGGGAGTCAGCTAAGAAACTTTCTATTGGCCTGGAGATTTGGATCAGCTGGTAGAGCACCTGCTTCCTATGCACAAAGACCTGGGTTCCGCCCTCAGCACCAAATAAATCTTAAGTGGTGGTGCACACCTGGGATCCTAGTGCTCAGGAGCTAGAGGCAGGGGGATCAGAATTTTTTTTATTTTTCGAGACAGGGTTTCTCTTTGTAGCTTTGCGCCTTTCCTGGAACTCACTTTGGAGACCAGGCTGGCCTCGAACTCACAGAGATCCGCCTAGCTCTGCCTCCCAAGTGCTGGGATTAAAAGCGTGCGCCACCACCACCCGGCCTAGGGGGATCAGAATTTTAAGGTCATCCTCTGTTACATGGAGTTCTAGGCTAGCCTGGGCTATGTAAGACATTGTCTCCAGAGAGAAAGGGAGGGAGAGGGAGAGGGAGAGAGAGAGAGTCTCTATTGATTTAAGAGGTTTGTCCTCTTAAATTGGGAAAACAGCAAAAATAGAAACACAAAAATAAACTAATTACAGTCCTACAGCCTAAAATAATATTTTGCTCTTTTGATAAACATTGTATCTTTAAGAGCACAGTGAAATAAATACCAATGTTTGTCTTCCATACAGCTAATAACACTGTAACATTAATGTTACCCTGTATTGTGTTTTTTTCCTGTTTATCTTCTATACAGCTAATAACGCTGTAACATTAACGTTAGCCTGTATTATTGTATTAATTCTTCCTGAAACTGACATGGAAGGCCACACAAAAGTGACTTAAGGGTGGAAGGATTCACCCTTTGACTCACGGTTTCCAAGGGGTCTGTCATGGCTGGGAAGGCATGGTAGACAGGAAGCAGAGAAAAATATGGGAGGATACAGAAAGAATCCAGAGCAAGACAGAGCCCCAAAGAGCTGGAAAGATGGCTCAGTAATTAAGAGCATAGACTGTTCTCACAGGAACTGAGTAGGTCCCAGCACCCATGTTGGAGGCTCATCCCACAACCAACAACTTCAGTCCCAGGGGATCTGGTGCCCTCTTCTGGCCTCTGCCGGCACTTGCACACACATGTGCACATTCTTCCCCACATACCATTAAAAAAAAAAAAAAAAGGACAAAAACGAAACAGAGCCAGGGGACACCCCTGCTGGTGATTGATTTCCAACCAGGTACCATACACCCTTTCCCACTTGCCAACAATGCCATTGCATTGTGAATTCATCTCACGATTAACCACTGATTATGTCAGAGCCATCCAACCAGCTCTGGAAATGCTGTCACAGACCCACCCAGACGGCCCCTTCAGTAACTCCTTAGGTGTTTCTTAATCCAATCAGACTGACTGTTAAAATCAACCATGAGGCTGATTAAAGGCCTTGTAAGCACAGAGTTCTGGTGCTATCTGTTATTTTCATTCAACCTTTCTCTATTGGCAGATATGGAAGGTACTTGCAAACCTTTTGAAATGGCATGACACACTTTTTTTTTTTTTTTTAGAGAGCTTAATGTCCAATATCAAATGGAAATAGTCTCCTGTGGATATTTTTTTAAAGCCAAAAGGTAGAGGCTTTTAAAAGGCTTTTGATGTATTTTGTCAAACTGTTTTTCCCATTACTGGCCCACTTCTGGCAGCCATGCGGAAAGTCTTTGTGGTACCTTGTTTTCCTCCACCATGAATAGATATCAGAGTTTTTCAAATCTTTGCTAATTTGACAGATTACAATCACATTTTCTTTCATTTCTGTGATTGCCAGTGAGGTGCAAATTTTATTTTTATTTTATTTTATTTTTTTTTTTTACCCCCAAATGCCATTCATTTGCATTTGTTTGAAATTTCACGTTCTGATTTCCGCTGTTCAGAACGGAGTCTCTCTGTTGATGAGTTCAATTGTTGATCTGCATGCATCTTGATAACTTGAAGAAGTCGTCTTTGTCTTTCACACCCAAGAATATTTTCCCATATGCACCGTTTAACTCTTCATTGCTGAATTTTTTTTTTTTTTTAATGAGATGCCCAGATTTACATTTTCAGGCAACATTCTGATTTTCAACATTTTCCTCCATTGGATGTCTTGAACAACTTAAACTTTTCCCTCCAATTAAAAAAATGTTATTATTGCTACTATTTTTTTGTTTATGTGTATGTGTGTGACTGTGTGCGCATGCATGTGCATACAGGTACCTGCAGAGGCCAGAAGAGGGTATGAGAGCCCCTGGGGGCTGGAGTTACAGATGGCTACCTGTGAGCCTCCTGATGTGGGAAACCAAACTCAGGTCCTCCTCAAGAGCAGCAAGTGCTCTCAATCACTGAACCTTTTCCTAGGCGGGTCTGGTTTTTAGAAAGAAAACGGCCCCCACAGGGAGTGGCACTATTAGGAGGTGTGGCCTTGTTAGAGTAGGTGTGGTCTTGTTGGAGGAAGCGTGTCACTGCGGAGGTGGACTTGAGGTCTCATATCTGCTCAAGTCGCCCCCGGTTTCTCCCTTCACTTCCTGTTGCCTGCAAGACACAGAACTCTCAGCTCCCTCTCCAGCACCACGTCTGCTGCGTGACACCATGTCCCGCCATGATGATAATGGACTGATTCTTCTAGGCTGTCTTGGCCAGCAAGCCTCAGGGCTCCTGTTGTCTCTGCTCTCCCAGCACTGAGATACTTGCTACCTGCCGACACATCTGGCTTTTTACTCAAACTCTAGGGTGTTTAACGCAGCTATCACTTTGCTGGCGGAGACGTCTCCCAAGCCCTTGAAATATATATATATATATATATATATATATATATATTTTTTTTTTTGGTTTTTCAAGACAGGGTTTCTCTGTGTAGCTTTGCGCCTTTCCTGGGACTCACTTGGTAGTCCAGGCTGGCCTTGAACTCACAGAGATCCGCCTGGCTCTGCCTCCCGAGTGCTGGTGAAATATATTTTGAAGATAGAAGTGATAGGGTATGAGATCGAGGGAAGGGGACTGTGATGCCTAGTTTTTGCTTTGTCAGTAGAAGGAAGACTGTCCCTTTCCCTCATTGAGTTTCATATTGAAAATAGAATACACCCTGCAGACTCCATGATCTTTGTTGTAGCCCAGGCTGGTCAGTAACTTCCCGTGTAACCGAGGCTGGCCTCAAAGTTGCAATCTGCCTGTCTCAGCCTTCTGAATCCCGGTGTTACTGACGGTTAAATCCAAGGTCTCACACCTGCTAGGTAAGCGCTCTACCGCTGTGTTGTGCATTTGGTCCTCTGTTAACTTTTTACTGATTGTATATACTTGTAGCGTACATTGGGTGGAGCTGTCGTTGAATGGAGACAGCTTTCACAGAGTGGGTGTGGGGAGATGAGGCATCCGACTCTGGGCACATTGAGTTTCAGGTGCTTCAGTCCGATGCATAGCTGTACTTTTGCCTGGCCCCAGAGGTAGGAGAGAAGGGAGAGGAGAGGCTTTGTCCAGGATGTTGTTGGCGGAAGACAGACTCGGTTCTTCAGGCCTGAGGCCGCAGACCCACCTGAAGATGGCAAGTTCAAGGCATGCCTGGGGTACAGAATGAGTTCAAGGCCAAGCTAAGCAACTTAAGGAGACCATATCTCAAAATGACAATTTGGGGGCTGGGGAGATGGTTCAGTGGGTAAAATAATTGCTGTGCAAGCATGATGACCTGAGTTTGGATCCTCAACACCCACATAAAAGCTGGGTGCGGTGGTGTGTGCCTGGAACCCCTGCACTGGGTGGATGGAGACGGGCAGAACCTGGGGGCTCGGCAACCTAGCCAAAATGATGAGCTTTAGTGGAGAGTGATAAAGGAAGATGTCTGGCATCAAATCTGGACTTTACACACTCGTGTACAGGTGCACACACAACTGCACACACATAGAATAAATACAAAGTCAAAAGAGCACTTGCCTAACATGCGTGAGGCCCTAGGTTCAGTCCCCAGTATTACCAGCCTGCAAGAGGCTGAGGCAGGAGGATTGCAACTTTGGGGTCAGCCTGGGTTGCATAAAGGGCTAATCACTAGCCTGGGGTCAGCCTGGGTTACATAAGGAGCTAATCACTAGCCTGGGGTCAGCCTGGGTTACATAAGGAGTCAATCACCAGCCTGGCCTACAATTAGGAAATCTGCAGAGAAAGACCATACTAGGGAAGTACAAATACTCAGAGCCTGCAAGATGTAGACTTGTCTTCAGTATGAAACTCATTGAGGGGACAAAGGTGCCAGCATACTGTTAAGCAATTTGGTAACAGTGTGAGAGTGCATGTGCATGCAAGAAGATCATTATTTTATCACCATTCCAGTTATTCATTCCCTTTTTATTTTATTTTTAAATTCTCTGAATGCATTTGTCATGCGGATATTGCATATGGGTGCAGTACCCATTGAGACCAGAAGAGGGCGTTGGATTCCCTAGAGTTCTAGTTAACAGGTGATTGTGAACCACCCTGGGAATGAACTTGGGTCCTTTGCAGGAACAATAAGTGCTCTTAACTGCTGAACCATCTTTCCAGCCCCTCATTGCCTTTTAAAAATGACATTAAGCCAACTAAGGATGTTTGCTGTGCTCTAGAGCGGATTAAAGCCCATCATATTTCTAGTGAGTGATTTAAATATTGCATAGCTCATTTATAATTGAATAATGCCATGGTGGCTCCCCAGCTCCCCAGCCTCCATTTTGAAGGCATTCTCCAAAAAAAAAAAAAAAGCTGTTTTGTTTTCTCTTTTCCAAATAAACATGAATCTGCATGAGAAATCAGGAGCTTGTGGAAGGAGTCGCTAAAATTAACTGGAATTAGATCTCATGCTTTGAATGCATCACACATCACGATTAGGAGAGGGAGGGGAGAAAGAAGGAAGGGGTTCAAAGAGGAGCTGGGCCTTGAAAGACCGACCTACTTCAAGGAGATGAATATTTAAAAAACAAGAACTTTAAGAATAATGCATTTATACCCCCAGGCCAATGCTCACAACAACAGAGATATTTACTAGGAGACTGCTTTCCCAAACTGTAACGGCAGAGCTGGTGCTGTATGGGCAGGGGTGCCTACCCTTCTAGAAGAAGCGCTGGGCTTCAGGTTTGAAGATGTGTTTTATTTTAGACACATATTTCACACTGGACCCTTTAAAGCTGCCTCCCTTGGAGGCCTGGTGCTACATGTCCATAATCTCAGCACACAGGAAGTCGAAGCAGGCGAGATAGCGTTGACTTTGATCCCAGCCCGGGCTACCTGGAGAGTTCCAAGCCAGAATGGGCTACATAGCAAGAGCTTGTCTCTAAAAACCAAACCAAACCAAACCTAAAAAGCTAGGCATGGTGCTTTACATCTGTAACCCTTGCACATGGGAGGCTGAAGAACTTACCAGGAGATTGAGACCACGTAGACCCATCTCTGGTGATTCCCTCTTTGGCCCAGGCTGGTCTTGAACTTATAAAAGATCCTCTGCCTCTGCCTCTGTCTGTCTCTTGAGCTCTGAAAGGACAGGCGTCTGTCAGCACACCTGCTCCCCTGCACTTCCAAACGAGTTTTGGATGCAATCTCACTCCAGGAGCGAGGCCACACGCCTTTTTCATTCCCTGCTGCATTTGGTTTGCGTCTGTTTAAAATCATTGTGTCAGCCTCCAGAGGCTGGTTGGTGGCAGCAGATACTGTCCCCATGGGAGGCACAGACACTTTTACCTTCCAGCCTTTGGGGTGGTTCTTTCCTAAGATTTGTGAACAGTTTTTCATACTAACGCCTTGATCAGATCCAGCTGAGGGCTTGAAGGTTCCTCTCTAGATCTGAGTCCTACATGGCTCTCTGCTCTCTTTGTGACCCAGTGATGCTGCCGGCCTTGGTCTCTCTGCTGAAGTTGTAATGGAGCACTTCTGCAACCCATGCACGTGGGGAGGTTGGAGGTAGGAGGATCAGGGGTTTAAAACATTTGAGGCCAGCCTGGGGTCGAGGAGGCCCTGTGTTCAAAACGACACCTTTTGGAATCCTGCATGCGTGTTTCTGTATGTGGATGTCTACAGTAACGCCTGGGTGCTTGGTGCATTAATATTAGTATACTGACAGCTAATT